TTTTTGGGGGATTGGCAGAAGGGGGGCGCTCTTCCCTGCGGGGGGTTTTGGGGTTTTTGTGTTTCTTCCTTGGGGTCGGGAGGAAGGGGGGGTAGGATTAATTTTTTTTTTGGGGGTTTCCCTTCCCAGAAACATTTTAAAGCGTTGTTAAAGCCCCTGGGGGGTCTTTAAGATTTAACCACAACGGGGGTTTTCCCCTTTGGCGGGGGGGGGGGTTTTTGGCCCCCCCCCAACATATTTTCTTGGTCCCCCCCTCTGGTTTCCCCAAAAAAAAAAAAAGGCAAAAAAACCAGGGGTTACCCGGTTTCCGGGGCTCAAAAAGTATTGGGTTTTTTTTAAAACTTCGCTCCCAGGGGAGAAAACCCCACCCCGGAGGCAAAACTTCTTGGCGTTCGGGGGGGGGGGGGGGGGGCGGTTCGCCATCTCCCTTGTATGTAGAACTCCGTTCGACGAGTCCGTTCGAAGGAAGACGGTATGCAGGACCGACGAAAGCATGCCCTCAACCCGTAGAAGAAGTTGCGGTATTCTCAGAGTTTTTTTTGTCGTCAAACGCGTCGTGGATTTCTGTCCCACACGCTCGTGACGTGTTTTTTTTCTTCTATTCAGCCCTCCCTCGTCATGTTTCCGGTGTCGCTGTTTTTTCTCCGTGCTTTCTCTCATTCGTTCGTTCATGTTTGTTTTTTGCTTTCACAGGTGGTCTTGAAGGAAAGCTTCACGTTCGACTCCACCCTGCTACTCACCGGCACTCCACTGCAAAACAACACAGAGGTGCGCAGGCAGCTATTCAAGTGTATCTGACGGTAATGGCTTTCTCTCTACTACCGTATATGACACAAGATAACACACCCCCTGGACCGATTTTCAAAGCTCGATTACTCCACGACGAAGAGGATGCATAAACGAAACAATACATTTTCGAAAACCTCTCGACGAGACGGTTCCAACGCCGCCGTTTTCGGCGCTGTGACTCTTCCTGCTGTTGAGAAATCGAGCTTTGAAAATCGGCCCAGGGGGTGTGTTATCTTGTGTCATATACGGTAGGTCTTTTAGTGTCAGTACGCATCGCTGATGTTGTTGAGGTAGCCGCTGAGAAGTGTCGAAATTCGTTCGTCTTGGTTGCCCCCCCTTTTTTCTGCGGTAGCCGCTGAGCTGTGTCGAAATCGTGCGTCTTGGTTGCCCCCCCCTTTTTCTGCGGCAGCCGCTGAGATGTGTCGAAATCGTGCGTCTTGGTTTCCCCCGCCTTTTTTTCCCCGGCGCTTTTTGGCACACACAGTTCAGTCACTTCTGTGTGTTGACGTTCGGTCTAGCCTCTGCTCTAATCGATTCAGCAGCCTTACCCCTTGTTTCCCAAGTGCTCAGACTGCGCGCTGGCCTTGCAGCTTGGAACCCAGACCCACTTTTGTCACAAACCCCTCCGTTTTTTTTTGTTTTCAGGAGCTGTGGACCCTCCTCAACCTGGTAGACGCGCCCAAGTTCCGCAACAAGGACCAGTTCGTCGAGGATTACGGGGATCTGCAGGTGAGTAGAGGGGGGGGAGGGAAGGAACCCCGGAACCCCGGAACCCCTTTCGGGTGGCGGGAAAACTTGGCCAAAATTCCAGGCGGTTATGTAGGTGGTGGACCGTGTGGTTGGAGGGCTTGCCCGTGTTGGTTTGAGATTGCGTACGCGCTCGTCTGGGCAGATCATTTTGTGGTCGTTGTTGTTCTTGTCGTGGGTGGTGGTGTGTGGTCTGCGTCGTAAGTAGCGATTGGAGGACTGCTGTTGTTGTTGCGCGTTGCGGTGAAAATCTCTCCTCCCTGTGCTGATCATTCAGTGGCCGTTCTGCGTATTTCTGTCGTTGGCGTGGTCATGCTGTTGTTGTTGCTGCTGCTAACGTGTTTTTCAGCGAGCGGAGGACGTGTCCCGGCTCCAGGAGAACATCAAGCCGTACCTGCTTCGGCGCATGAAGGAGGACGTGGAGAAGGCGGTGCCCCCTAAGGAGGAGACCATCATCGAGGCGAGTACCATGTACTTTTTACACATGTCTCTCGTTGTCGTCGATTTCTGCTTTGCCCAATCGGACAGGGTGTATGTGTGTACGTCCGTCCCCTCTGATGGGGTTGCGGAGGCCACGGGCTGCTGTGTAGGTATCAGCTGTACCCACCGTTTTTGTTTTTTGTTTTTGCTGTGCAGAGCCAGCCTCCTGGAACAAGACGTAGTGCCACGCTCTCTCCCTGCGGTGACGAGAACGGGCGGAGATTCGCGAACACACAGCCCGACCCTCCTCATCGGATCGATCACGAACAAGTTCACTCGCAGCTTATGCTCGATTTTTGTCACCCCCGAGAGGTCGAGCTAGCAGAGATGTTTGCTAACCCATCCGCGGCGCAGAATCAGCACGCCCCCCCACCCCCCCCCGCTCTGTCCCGCCTGTTGGTCTGGTCTCACGTGTAGGGTCCTCTCACCTGCGTGATGGGTTGATTATTTTTGTGTTCGTTTTCCTCTGGCCGCCGCCAATAGGTGGAGCTGACCGAGATCCAGAAGCAGTACTACCGCGCCATCTACGAGCAGAACACGACCTTCCTGCTGCAGGGCAAGAAGAGGGCCCAGGATGGGCCTAGCCTGATGAACCTCGCGATGCAGCTCAGGAAGTGCTGCAACCACCCGTACCTCATCACGTGAGTGCCTCGCGAGTTGTTCGAGAGAGGGTTATCTATTTATGAGGCCAAGCCCTTGTATTGTTCGTACAACATCTGTTCCGAATTCACGTCGTAGACCGGCTTGCTCTCTCCGCTCTGTCGCACATGTCAATCGTGTCGAATCGTTATTTCTTTAGGCTTGCAGCACTCCCAACTTCTCTCTACCCCGGTCTTCTCTCCATTGTTTTTTTTTTCCCGGTCACCCACGGGTGTGTATACCGGCCTTCCGCCTGCTTCGTATTCCGTGGGCGAGTCATGCGGCCCTTTTGCCTGCTGCTGTGTGCGGCTATCTGCTTCAACCTCATCGGTGTTCTCGCCTTGAATCCGACCACTGACTAAAATAGCTTTCGATATTCTTTCGCTCGATCGTGGCATATCAACGATATCGCCGCCGCCGTTCTACCGACAGTGGCGTAGAGGATGCTGTCCGTGTCCAGATGGGCGACAGCGGCGAAGACAAGGTGGGTCGGGGCTTGTGGACGGAGGGGGGCAACACGCGCTGTCTTTTTGAGTGAGGGTGTTTGATCTTTGCTACAGTAAAACGATTTCGACGTCGTCGTACCACGTACGTGCGGCAGTTGGAGGCGCACCGTCTCGTTTTATTGGTGAATCAGGTTCATTGGCCACTCGCGGTTCGCTTGGAATTTTTTCTCGTCGTGTGAGCGGATGTGCTCTCCCTTCGCTAATTTGTGTTCCACGGCGTTTTGCGTCGGCCTTCGGTTTGCTGAATTTCACTTTTGTCGTTTCGTTCTGTCAAATATTTGTCTGAACAAAATGCCGGGAAGACTCCTTTGTTTCTCGAAACAACGACCTGCTTCTGTTTCGCCTGTTATGTTTTGTTTATTTCATTTGGCCCGCTTTTTGGATGCGCCACCCGAGAAGCCGCTGTCGCGACGACCGCGATCCACGTTTTCTGTGTTAGGGAGATCACCTGTTGAGGAGCGTCTCTCGTTTGTCTCCTCTGGCCCGTCCGAAAACGAAACGTAGGAGCATCTGGTTAAGCACTCGGGCAAGCTGGTCCTACTGGACAAGCTCCTGCCTCGCCTCAAGCAGCAGGGTCACCGCGTTCTTCTCTTCAGCCAGTTCAAGGTCAGTGGGGCGTCTGCATGCACGCATGCATGTACTAAATACACAAAGAAGCTCCGCTCTTCTATCTTTCCCCGTTGGTTGGGCCCCCGTCTCTACACGTAGAGATCGTGCTCCTGAAGCGTGCTGTTTTTCGTTCGTCTTTTTTCTTTGGGAAAACGACACAACAGGGTATACCCTGGTCGAAAAGCGACACACCTGGGTACACAGTCATTAACAGCAGTAAATGCATTCATATGATTGGTCAGCACCCAATTTCACCCGGGTACGTCCGAAAAGGCGCAGGGTATACCCTGCTGTGTCTACTTTTCTCACCAACTGTACCCTGTTTTCGGAAGTGTACCCTGACCTGACGGGAAATAAGACCCATTCATCAATCATTTCCCCCGCAGGAATCTTCCCAACTCCTTTTCCTCTCCAACCATGGGGTACCAAACGGCGAATCTTCCCACCCAATAACAACCATGGCAACGCGGCAGGAATCAGTTTCCGCCCCTGCCAAACAACACCAACCATCAACTCTTCCGCTCTAAATCAACAATGGCCGGGCACTACCCCAGCACAGCAGTTGTTCCGTTTGGAAACATGCACACACGTGTGTGTACAATACCCCGTGCACCACTGCTTGCTGCAGTCTATATGCGACATGCACGGGTCACGCTACGAAAGCGAGACCGATCCCGCATGGTTGACATGCATATATATATATGACATGCATATATATATATATGCAGGTATGGACACAGCACTACACGGGTAGCGTTGGGCGCCGCCACTCCCTCCTGCCTGTGCCGTGTGTGCGTGGGTGTGTTGTCTGTTGTGTATCAATTGCGATGTGTTTCTTGCTTGAACTACTACTACTACTACTGCTGTAACAGCAGCGGTCGCGCTTACCAGCCGACCAAGCCGACCAACCAATCAATGTATGTAGTAAGAAGACGTCAGGCTTCAGCGGGATGAGCCGATGAAATACACCGCGAGCACAGGGAGGGTGATTGAGTTGGACGACACAGTCCTGCTGCTAGAGTTGTTAGCACTCGCTACTCCTTCCATGATTGATGTCAAGGGCGTGTCTGTGTGTGGTGTTGCTGCCTCTCTCCTCCGCCCGCTCAGCGCAGCGCCACACATCATGGGCACATACATGCATATATATGCATGTCAACCATGCTGGATCGGTCTCGCTTTCGTAGCGTGACCCGTGCATGTCGCATATAGATAGACTGCAGCAAGCAGTGGTGCACGGGGTATTGTACACACACGTGTGTGCATGTTTCCAAAAGGAGCAACTGCTGTGCTGGGGTAGTGCCCGGCCATTGTTGATTTAGAGCGGAAGAGTTGATGGTTGGTGTTGTTTGGCAGGGGCGGAAGCTGATTCCTGCCGCGTTGCCATGGTTGTTATTGGGTGGGAAGATTCGCCGTTTGGTACCCCATGGTTGGAGAGGAAAAGGAGTTGGGAAGATTCCTGCGGGGGAAATGATTGATGAATGGGTCTTATTTCCCGTCAGGTCAGGGTACACTTCCGAAAACAGGGTACAGTTGGTGAGAAAAGTAGACACAGCAGGGTATACCCTGCGCCTTTTCGGACGTACCGGGGTGAAATTGGGCGCTGACCAATCATATGAATGCATTTACTGCTGTTAATGACTGTGTACCCAGGTGTGTCGCTTTTCGACCAGTTTATACCCTGTTGTGTCGTTTTCCCAAAAAGCGATGGTCACAAGATCAAGAGTGCTTCCACCAACTATTTCACTCACCGATGGTACATTGTCATACATACGGGGAAATGCAATCGATACGGATTCACTCCTGCGACACGAGACGGTACTGATTCATTCTTGGTCACGAGGCGGATTCACCCTGCATTCATTCCTACAAAGGCGCCGCCGATCTAGCGAAACAGCCTTATTCACTCGATTCACTCCTGCAAGTCATCTATCCTTCCTACTCACTCCTGCAAGACATCCATACTTCCTACTCACTCCCCACTCCTGCAAGACATCTATCCTTCCTACTCACTCCTGCAAGACATCCATCCTTCCTATTCACTCCTGCACGTCATCTATCCTTCCTACTCACTCCTGTAAGACATCCATTCTTCCTACTCACTCCTGCAAGTCATCTGTCCTTCCTATTCACTCCTGCAAGACATATATCCTTCCTACTCACTCCTGCAAGTCATCTATCCTTCCTACTCACTCCTGCAAGACATCCATCCTTCCTATTCACTCCTGCAAGACATCCATCCTTCCTTATCCGTGCCGACGATGCGAAACTCGTTCTCGCGAACGATCTCTCTTAGAGTCATTCCTGCGAACTATGCAGGGTCGCCGATTCATCATTAAGATGCCGAGTTCATCATCGCAAACGATGCAGACTCGTTCCTACCATCCTTGCGGATTCACTGTTGCCGTTGTTGCTTGTTCCATCCTGCGGTGTTTAACGTTGCTAACTCATTCCCGACAAACAGTGCGGATTCGGTCTTGCGTTCCGGATTTAATGCTCCGCAAATGATGCCTGATTCGCCTTTGTTTCTTCTTCGTTTCATTCCCCGCTTACCTCACGAACAGATCATGCTGAATATCCTGGAGGACTACCTGATCGCTTCGGGCATCCCGTACGGCCGCATTGACGGCAGCATTCAGGGAAACCTCCGCCAGAAGGTACAGCACGTACTGAAACTCGCAAACATTGCTACAGGCGCACTGCAACAGTATCTTGTAGCTCTTTATGTGCAAGAGCTTGGTCAACATGTTGGTAGGATTTCGGCACGTGCGCCTTCAGAAAATGATGAATGAACGAGTGGCAGAGCATGTCTCCCCCACGTTCGCCTTCTAACCCGCCGCCACCTTCCCTACATAACACCCACACATCAGGCGATCGACAGCTTCCAGGCCCCCGACAGCGACATGTTCGTGATGCTGCTGTCGACGAAGGCGGGCGGGGTGGGCATCACCCTCACGGCCGCGGACACGTGCATCATCTACGACAGCGATTGGAACCCTCAGGTTAGTGTGCGTTCGTCAAACCCTCCGGCAGTGTAGTGGTTTTGTTCTCACCCGAGTGGTTCATTCGCACTCCCCTTCCTAGCGACGTATTCCGACCAAGACTAGCCCCCAGGTTTGTGTGTGTTCGTCAAAACCCTCAGGTAGTGGTTTGTTCCCACCGACGTGGTTAATTCACACCGAGTGATTTATTCCCACGGACTAAATAGTTGACCGGATTCGGTCCCTGGTCGTTGCGATGAGGCTTTGTGAGGCGCCGAGTGGCAGTACCTCGTGGGTGCCATTGTGGCGTGCTCTCAAGAGGCCTTCTCTTTTTCTCCAGTACGGTCTAGCCTCTTGCCAAGCTGTTCTGGGGTAGAGCTGGGGGTCGCTCACAAGGCCTCGTCTTGAATTGTCCCCGGTGAGGAGACGGAGGGGTGGAAATGTTGTTGATGAGAGCGGTCGAGGGAGGATCATTCCGAGCTCTCCCTGTGCTTGTGTGACGTTCTGCGGCGGCCGCCGCCGCCGCCGCCACCGCCGCCGTCGCCGCATGTTTCGCTCAAAAGTGGGGAGTTCTCTGATGGCTTTTATCTTTTCCCAACGTCGGGCGCGAGTATAGCTTTTACCTCCAAGGGGACTAACATCTGTTGACTACCTCCCCCCTACGTTTTGATGCGATTGTGGATGTGGACGCATTTTTGCAGAACGACGTCCAGGCTCAAGCGCGTTGCCACCGCATCGGGCAGACCAAGAGCGTCAAGGTGAGACGAGATCATGGCTCTCGGCTCTTCACCTGGAAGTGGTGCGCTTGCAGCGGCACCTGTTTTTTGGATGCTGTACTGTACATGTTCTGCAATGGTTAGAAGCACATCAATCACCGGGTGCACGGCTGCGAGGACCGGCAAGGGAACGGATGGGGATATCTTCGCCAGAATCTAATTTCAAGCTCCGAACGCGGTGATGGATAGGGGTTCGTGATGTTTGTGCCGTTCCTGTCTCTCCACTCCTGCTGGGAATGAATTTCACCACAAGAGTTTTGCCCGACGAAGATTATCGAGCTACACTCAACACCTACGAAACACAAAACTAATCTCACCGAATGAACGAAACGAACTCTCGAGCCGACCACAAAAACGACTATACAGTGGCAGTATCCAGCACGTTCCTTCGTCCCTCTTACTCCTCCCCCCGCCCGCCCTGCTCTGGCCACACAATGATAAGGTATACCGTCTCCTGGTGGCGAAGACTTACGAGATGCACATGTTCAAGACCGCCAGCAAGAAGCTGGGCCTTGACCAGGCCGTCCTGTCCAGCTCCAGACCGCAGAACAAGCAGGACAAGCAGGCTCCCACCAAGGCCGAGGTATGATATGTAGTACAGTACTGCCAAATGTTGTTAAGATTTTTTTATCTTTCTGTACCCCGTTTGGTGTTGGATTCCTTTTGTGTTTTGCGGTTTCGTGGGAGACGCCGCCGTGATGTTTTGTGTATTCACAGGCGGCGATTGCTTCGGCTCCACGCCCGTGCTGCGCTCAAATGCCACCCCCCTCGTCCACCCACCCTATCCCGTGCGATAATCTGATCCCATCCCACACACGTCCATGGCACGCGTTCGATGCTTTTCATTCTTTTGGTCGATTGCCCTATCCGGTCGGTCAGGTGGAGATGCTGCTGAAGCACGGCGCTTACGACGTGTTCAAGGAGGGCAAGGAAGGGGAAGAGGCCGGCAAGAAGTTCTGCGAGGACGACATCGAGTCCATCCTCTCGAGGGCAGTGGTGAGCAATAGCGTTGTCGCTGCTGCTTGCGCCGTGACGTTGAGTCTCCACTTGCTGATCCCGGAATAGCATGGCACGGCGCAGTGTTTCCTTAACCTCATCACCTCGCTGCTCCCCCCCGCCCTCGCCGTCCGAGAGCCCTCTGCCAGATTTTAGATGTTCATGAAACGATAGACAAGTCGTTCAACCGCCCGTTTTATGGCCTGAAGCCCAACCATGTTACAGGAAGCTCAGCTTTTCCCCGCCTGTTCATTTCACTACACAGTTACCATCCCTTTGTCCCCCTCGGCACGACATCCCCTGCACCAAACTTGTGAACCACTGCTGTACGGAGGGCGCAGCCGGATGTGAAGCCTTGCCTCCAGCTTGTTCTTCCCCCCCCCGGCCGCCGGATGTGTACCCACACCCATTCTCAAACTGACGAACCGATCTACCTACCCGACCGCGCCTTGTGTTGCCTCTCTCTCTCTCTCTCTCTCTCTCTCTCTCTCGCCGCACCGCGCCTCTCCAATGGCAATGGCAAGGTTGTAAACCGTTCTGCGGAAGGCGTGGAAGAAGGCAAGCCTTCCAACTCGTTCAGCAAGGCCAGCTTTGTGGCCACTAGTAATGACGCCGGAAGCGCGGCGGTGAGTGGAGGGAAGAGGCGTGGCGTAGTCGGATGGGGGATTACTTTTGGTGTCCCCCAACAATCATAGCCCAGCGAGCTGAGCTGGAGGTACCTTGGGTTGCTCTGTTTTTCAGACGGGTACAACATCGATTATTTTCATCGAAATTTATCTCTAACACCTGCTCGCTGCTGTTGTTGCTCCCTCTGTTTCGTATGCCTCTGCCGCCACCGCCGCCGCCACTGCTGATACTGCTGGCGCTGCTGCTGCTACCGTCTGCTGATGTCGTTCAGGTGGATGTGAACGACCCCGAGTTCTGGACGAAGTGCGTTGGCCTACAGGTGCCCGTCGAGAAGGAGGAGCAGCTCGGAAGGTCAGTCGCCAGCCCAGCTGCTGCTGCTGCTTCTGCTGCTGCTTCTGCTGCTGTTGCTGTTGCACACCACAGCGCTCGATCGTCGCCACAGCACCGTGTACTCCCGTAGCGCTGGTGTAGCAGTACCGACGCGTTGTTCATCCTTCAAACCTGAGGGAGTGCGTATTGCGCTCTGGGAGATGGAGAGAGATAGTTTTAGTGTCCTGCCTCTCACCAATTTCTGGCTATCCCCCATGTACAGCAGTAGCGGGACGTGGCTACACAGAAACGGCGAAGGTGCCCGAAACGTGGGTCGAAGAGCAACACCGTTGAAAAACCTGGACCACACACCTCACTCGCCGATGTTTTTGGCGCCCATGCTTCATGCGATTTCGTGTTCAGTCGTAAGCCCTCTGTAGGGCGGACCTTATAAGCGGGTGCCCGCTATAGGGCGGGTGAAATTGGCTGGCACAGATGGATATTCAAAGACGGTTGATACATTGGACAGCGCGGGTGCCGGCTACAGGGCGGGTGAGCCGGCCTGGCGCATACCCGCCGTATGGAGGGCCCTCGCCTGTATTGTTTATTTTCGTAGGGGAATATTGCTGTCGGTGCCCATACCGCAGTGTGATTTCACATGGAAAGCTGTATAGGGGGCCCCGCCAGTGATACAACAAGGTTTGCACTGGGCGCGCCCACCTGGGTGGGCGAGTAAGCGGGTTGGATGGTATTCTGATCGGCGCCCCGTGGGTGTGATACTACGCTTTTTTTTTGCACGACGGGGTACAGCGGCCTTTTTGCTCGATACTCGATACACTCGCGGAACCGTGTGGGGCGGGACCCCGACCTAGGCGCTAACGCGGCCGTCATGCGTACTGTACGCGCGCGCTGAACAGGCGGGCGGCGCGAGGCGGCCGGAAGGACTACAAGGACAACGGCGTGAGCGACGACGACTTGGGGGACGAGGACTCTGACTCGGCGGTCAACTCGGAGTTCGAGGTGTGTGTGTGGCTCGCGTGTCCCTCTGAGTTTTGTTTAGTGGTGTTTTTGGTAGTGTGGCAGTGGTTGTTGTTGCTGTTGTTGTTGTTGTTGCGATGGCGGTGCGGTGGTGGTGCGGTGATCTCGTTGTTGTAGCATCCTGATGAAAGAGGAACGTCTTTGCTGTCATAGGGCACAGCACGACGCGGCGAACAGGCGTGTGTCTCTGCTTGGTTGTTCCCAGCAACCTCTTTTTCCCGCTTTGGAACAGCAGTGCGTTTCCCTTTTGCCTAAAACCGAAATGCTGTGGTTTGTCCCTGCCGTGTGTTTGCCGGTGCTTTCCTCCTGCGCCGATCGTGGAGGCTTGGTGCTATCCCATTTTTGTGTGTTTCTGTCTCGTCTTGGTTGTGTATGATGGTAAAGTTGCTGATTGGGTGCCGTTGCGTCCTGTGGGCGTTGATCGGTTTTGTGCAACACGTCCGTATTCCTTGCTGTATGTCAAATAATCGCTGGTAAATTGTATTTGCCGCCTCCTGCGTGTGCATGCTCCTTGCCGCCGCCTTTGATTGTGTGATGATTAGGACGTCTCGAGCGGCGACGACTCGGTGGTATTGCTCAACGACAGGCATCTGTGGGGTCACGACGACATCAATGACGTGTTCGGGTGAGAGAGAAAGAGAGAGAGAATCGCTATTATAACTAGGATGCAAATATTATCGCAGGATAGTGACGCAATATCGAGGATACGTACTTATCACAGGATTGTGACAAGGGTGCTATGATGCCCGTGTTTATGGAGCAAGGCGAGGAAAAAGTGCAGCACAGAATGGATGGTGAAATGTGTGGTTGTATGTTTGCGTGTACATGACGAGGTATCATACGCATCGCAGGATGGTGTTTTGCGTGTGTATCGCAGGGTGGTGTTTTGCGTGTGTATCAGCCGGTTGCCCCCCGTTAATCGCCCATGGGTTACTTGTGTTGAGTTGGTCCGTTCTGAAGCGACACAGGCGAGTAAATTGGTCGAAAAGGTACGGTGTCGTAAGTGCCAGCGACGTCTTGAGGCGATACATGAGGCGATACATGCCGCAT